CTATTTAGTGCCACTTGTGCTTCCACATCAGCAAAACCTGTAGAATCCGGTGAAAATGACCTAATGTGTATATATTAATAAAGTATAAGGGTTTATTTTACAAAAAAAAAAAATAATGACTAAATATGTACAATTCAAAAAGTATATTATCCTATCAAGTCATTTTCCCTAAAAGAAAATTCGTATATAACCGGTATACCGGGTATAGCCGGTCACAAGGATTGCATTGTTACAAAAAATAAAATATAAGGATTTATTTTAAAAAAAAAATAAGGACTAAATATGTACATTTTAAAAAGTATGTTACCCTATAAGTCATTATCCCTTAGGAATATATGGGTGATTCCTCACGAACTTTCGGTCAAAAGTCTCTTGAATCTACATTGGACTTTGGTATCCTACTCCTCAAAACCTTGTGGACCACATTTTAAGCTACTTCTAGCACTTGTTTATATATTTCAAAAGATTTTTTACCCCCACATCTTAATAATATCTCCATTTTATCCTGATTAACGATATTGGATTTTATGATATTATTATTTTTTACTAATTAATCTAATATATTAAATTTAAAGATTAAAGTTGTAGTTGTTTATTGTTTTATTTATTTATCTTTTTTATGTACATAATTGATTATGAAGTAAGATACATTACACAATATTATAAGGAGCCTATCGTTTGATAACAATGCATCATTATAAAAACAGGCCAATATTTGATAATCATATCCAACTTACTTTAGATATTTGTATATGATTCTTTCTAAAAAGATCATCAATATATAACAATATTGTTGAATATTAAACAGAAACTAGACTTTTAACACTGAAAGTAATTAAAATGTTTTATTATTTAAAGTTGTATGGATTTTTTAAGATAAATTTTTAAAAGAATGAGTATTTTTTTAATTTAATTTGGGTTGTGTTTTCTTTCTTTTTGGGAGAGGGGTAATTGTTTTAACCCAAATTGTATTGACTATTGACCCACAATCTATCTGTACCCGAGTCCAAAATTTGTTGCCGGTTGACCACCGACAAGCACGGTCGTCTGTGTGCCCACTGCCCAGGTCACCGCCTTCTTTTCATAATAATCAACAAACGACACCGTCCGGTGGTTCACCTCGTTACCTCTCTTTTCGCACCCACACAATTATCCAAATAATTGAGATTCTTCAACTCCGAGTCTCACTTCATTCTTTATTAAACCCTCTATTTTAACCAAATAACAGTTTACCCTCTAACTCAATGTTCTTTCAATATTAGTCCCTTCTAAGTAAGGAAGGTAACATTGGAATAGTAATTGAGCCAAGATGGAAAACTATTCTCAAAGTACTTATTTAGTTACTTTATTTATTTTATTTTTTAGGTTTTCTAAGTTTCTTTAACTTTTTTCTTTGTGTACACATCGACTTTATCATATTACATAGCCTTTTTTATTGCCTAATGTCTTTTTATTAATTGTCCAATCTTTTTGTTTAGTTTGTTTATATTATATATTTTATATCCGCTACAACTTGCTATTTACATGTTTTTCACAACTTCATTTTGATAAATTTGTTATATATTTTAAAAACTTTGTTTGACGTGTTTTTTTACAACTTCAATTTTACACTTTTTTTACAACTTCATCTTGATACATTTTTTGTACGTGTTTTTACTTCATCTTTACATGTCATTAACTCCATCGAAATATCTTTTAAACTCTATCTTTCATATGTTTCTTCAAAACCCTTAGTAATAGATCTTCTACACCTCCACATTCATGGGACACATTTAGCCTCATGTCATCCCCCACAACCAAATCCAGATGTCCCACTTCTTGAGTCTTCTCAACCATCAAATTAGTTTGTCTCAACTTCCCTAGTCTCATCTTCCCTATGGCCCTTCAAGTTGAGAAATTTCTTACAAAGGTCAACACCATTTTCTTGATACATTTTCTTAGTCTCAAAATTTTGGTACAAAGGTCTAAGAGTCCACAATGTCAACACCATTTTGTTACAAGAGCTTGATACCTAGACAACACTAAGAATGATATTAGGGTTAACCAATAAAGGAGATCAAAAAAATAGGGATGGAGAAATTAGAGATAACTATATAATAGGGATGATTAATGCATACACGTAGATGTATCATGCATGATGGTTGTATAATGGCGGTAATGGAGAAGGAGAGATATGAGAAGTGAAAAGACGAATTTACCCTCATGTGAGGGGCACATTAAGCTATGAACGACTGAAAATAAATGGTGCTTAAAAGGAGGGACCAAATACACAATAAAACATGGGGATAAGGAAGTTTTTTTGCAAATGCTTTTGTCAATGGACTAAACCTTCAATTTTTTGCTAAACATAGGTACCATTATTGCACTTTACTCTTTTTCTCTAGTTTCTACCTTCTATAATTCTATGTTACTTCCTATTTTGGATTTTCTGTTGTTAAATATTTAAGTATGAAGAACATATACTAATATATAAATGTGAATAAAAAAAATTCTTTCGTTCTTATTAAAGTTATCTAATATCTTATTGTTTCTTTGTTATTTTGTAACATAAATATTATTTATCAGTTATTAAAAAATCGGTAGTATATGAAGTCTTAAATATAAGCAATCTCATCTCTTAGTTTAGAAAGTAGGTTTTATTTTTTTATACGATCTTATGCTTTAAAGATCATATATTTCTTTTCTTATTCCTCAAGCAAGATAAATATGACTAACTGTTTGTTTTCTGTAGAATATAAATATATAATGATATTTTCTTAAAATAAAAATTAATGAAATAACTTCTTCAAGTGTTTAAACTCTTGAAAATATTTTTCTTAAAATACAAATTAATAAAAATATATTTATTTTACATAGAATTATGGTATGTATGACCTAATTTTTCATTTTTGAACTATCATCTAACGTTCAATTTACCTGTTAAATAACTTCTTTTTTAAAGTAACGAGTTAGTAAAGTCAACTAAGCTAAAAGTATGGTCCAAGAAAGAGACAACACAAAAGAAGAGGGACTAAAGTGTAAAGAATGATTCCTATTAACAAAATCTCAACTTCAAGTCGATGTAAACGATATACATCCAGCAAGAAAGTGGGACCTACACAGACTAGCACCTTTGACCGAACCCCACCACCGTTCAACACCAACTCAGGTTAAGCCTTAAGTTAATGGACACACACGTGTGGAGGTTGAAAGGAGTAACGTGGTCAGATAAAAGGAGCCAAAATCGCACATACACACACTCACACACATCTTCCCTCAAAACAGAATTACCCTTCCACACACCCTCTCTGTTGCCTTTGTCTCTCTGTTCCTTTCCTATATATGTCAAAAAGCCCCAAACAAAGAACAAACTGAAAGAGAATTTTCAGAGTACTGTGTGTGAAAGTGTGTGTATATATACACACACTTATATATAGAGAGAGAAGAAAGAAAGAGAGAGAAAGAAACTGAGGTTGAGGAAAACATGCCTGCGAGCTTACAGCCCTTGGACGTCGGAATTCAGGTTCCGTATCATTTCAGATGTCCAATTTCTCTTGAGCTCATGATGGATCCAGTCATCATTGGAACCGGTCAGACATATGATCGTTCAAGCATCGAGTCATGGGTGGCCACCGGAAATACCACTTGCCCTGTCACGCGCCTCCCGCTCACCGATTTTACGCTCATCCCTAACCACACGCTCCGCCGTCTAATCCAGGAGTGGTGTGTCGCCAACCGTTCGTATGGTGTGGAACGGATTCCTACGCCGAAGCAACCTGCTGATCCGGTGATGGTCCAGTCATTGCTTAAACAGGCGTCGTCGGTGTCGAACACGCGGCACGCTAGGCTGTCTGCGCTTCGTCGGCTCCGGGGGCTCGCACGTGATTCGGATAAAAACCGTTTGGTTCTCTCAACGCAGAAAGCGTGTGAGATTTTATTGGACGTGTTGTTCTCCGAAACCAATCGCAACTCGTCTGATTTGACTCACGAGTCGCTTGCGATTCTAGCGATGCTCGCGCTTTCTGAGACGGAGTGCCTTTTGGTGTCTTCCGATCCAGATCGGATCTCGTATCTGATTTCGCTTCTGTCACATTCGTCAATTGACGTACGAGTCAACACGGCCGCGTTGCTTGAGAACGTTGTCACCGGTACAAGATCTCCGGAACTCCGAGCAGAAATCACCAGTCACGATGAAATATTCGACGGAATAGTCGGAATTCTCGATTATCCTTTGACGTATCCGCGAGCCTTGAAAATCGGAATTAAGGCGTTGTTTGCTTTTTGCATGGTGAAGCAACACCGGCACAAAGCGGTTGAGGCAGGAGCAGTGGAGGCGCTCATTGACAGGTTGCCGGATTTTGAGAAATGCGACGCTGAGAGAGCGCTGGCGACGGTGGAGCTATTATGCCGAATACCATCAGGATGCGTGGCCTTCGCGTCTAACGCGCTTACAGTGCCCCTGCTCGTAAAGGTCATCCTGAAGATCTCGGACCGTGCGACGGAATACGCCGCTGGAGCACTACTGTCGCTCTGTTCCGCCGCAGAATGGTTGGAAGGGGAGGCGGTGGCGGCAGGGGTTTTGACGCAGCTGTTGTTGCTTGTTCAAAGCGACTGTACAGAGCGAGCTAAGCGAAAAGCGCAAATGCTACTGAAACTTCTCCGGAATTCCTGGCCGGAAAACTCGATAATGAATTCATACGATTTCGGATGCAGCGACGTCGTTCCGTTTTGATTATTTTTTTTAATTTCTTTTTGTTTTCTTTTAAATTTTTAGTTTACTTTATTTTGCAAATTTTAGTCCATTCTTTTTCTTTATTTCAAAGAAGAAAAAAAAGTGAGAACATTATATAGTTCTAGAAGGTGGGTGGGGTATATAGAAGGAGAGTGGTTTTGGATCATGCAAGGATTTTTGGTAGTGGAGATTTTTTTTTCATTATAAATGTGAATTGTTAGAAGTGAATATGATTTAAATGATTAAAATATGAATTTTTAATGGTAGTTATTTTATTATATATTGTTGTTGAGTTCATGTCTCGTTTAACTCATCTAAGATATATATGGAATTATAAATAGTTTAGAATACAATCTATACAAATTGTGAGTTAAAATACAATCTATACAGGTTTCATCAATTTCAAACATATGATTTGGGGGGTTTAACGTTTATCGACATGACATCCTGTGAGAGAGAATTTGGATCTTGTGCTCTGTTTCTATATTGATTGTTCTTTCCTTTTTTCAATCTGCGTTTTACTTTTGAAGAAGATTCAAAGAATCACAACACAGATCATATCATCATACACTTCTCGAAATCGCAATGTGTATGTCGTTTCTCTGCTAAAGGAAAAAAAGTGAAGGGGAAAGCATCAAGTCATCAAATTTAGGAAAGCAAAAGAAAACCTGTTCAAGATTCCAGGACTTCAGAATTCTCAGGATGTTGAAGCATTTACTTCTCCATGCAACCATGCAAGACTCGTTTTTAAATACTCCCTCCGTCCCATATTAATAATCCATATTTTCTTTTTGGTTTGTCCCAAAATAATTGTCTACTTCTAAAAATAAAGATGTCTTTTACCATAATACCCCTCATTATTAGTTAAATTACTATAAAATTAAATGCAACTACCATAGAATTAAATGCAAGAGAAGGATAAGACTGTCATTTTATTTAATAAAGTTAATGGTAATTAATGTTTTCTTAAACTGTGTGTTTTTTGTCTGTGTACTATTATTTTGGGACGGAGGGAGTATTGAATCAACTGCACTTTTAGTTTTACGTCAAATGGGTTTATTGTTTAAAGCATTGGGTGTGGGCAACTGGATGTAACACCATATTGGTGCCACCTCATCCATAACACCACCATAACACCAAGGGGGAAATGATGTTCCACATGTTATATCATGTTAAGAGGTAGAGAGAGAAAATAGAGAAAATTATTTGATTTGTTGATAAAGGAGATAGTCAATCATCTTTCTTGTTTTATCTTGTCCTCGTTACCACTAGATGCAACATAACGAGCAAAAACGAGTAGGGGGCGGTGTCCCCCCCCCCCTGTCACGACGTCGTTGATGGTGCCACATCACCCGGTTGCTTCTCGTTTTTGTCCCATACCGCATCCTCTTATGGTTTGCAAACGATGGGTTTCAAGCAAGCCTCCTACCAGTTGAAATAGATACCAACTTCACTGCCCACCAAACGTTCAATAAAATGCCAAAGTGAAATTGTCAAATACTAGAATGATATTTTTAATTCTATTCAAGCAGTTTTATTTAACTAAGAGATGTTT